AGATAATTAATTTACACGTAAAGGTTGAAATCATATTAAACACATAAATGGACAGAACCTGTTTTTCAGGTTTCATCACCGTCCAACTACTTTTCCAATCAGTTTTCACCCCCTTATCCATATCCAATGACTCCCAAATTTTTACCACGTTTCTATAACATGTATGCGAAGGCAATAATGCTCTAAAGTCGTGACAAATCAAGTGTTCCCAGCATCAAAATAGTCCATTTCCACGACATCAAAATCAGGCAGTTTTCATTGTGACAGCTTTCGGTTTCCATTTTATTAGCATGTCATCAAACAGATTCCAGGCTATTAGAAGACCATTTATATCCTTCTAAATCACATATAACAACATTAATTTACATAGATACAAGTTATATCTTCAGTATTATACAAAATCAAAGTTTAAACCATCCAAATTCATCAATCAACACATCTCTATTCCTGTTGGTTTCTTTCAGGTTCTTGTACTCAATTACCCCTCTCTTTTGCCATCATAAAATCATAAACAACCCTTATACTTAGCCACAACTAAGTTTATAGTTTAAACATATTATAAAACAAGCAAAAGAACTAAAGAAAAACTTCAAAACCGCGAACTAAACTCACCTATCCAGAAATTCAATTTCAGCTCCTTGTTTCTGCTTCTCTCTTTTCCTTTTTGCTTTCTCTTTCAATCGGTGGTCAGTTGGGGATAATTTGTAAGACTAAACATGTTGTTAGGAGGTGTATATAAAGTCCTCAAGATGCTGGAGACGTGACTCTTCCTTAAGGATTAAGAAAATGTGGGGTGCAGCCAAGTGTTTAGCATGAGGTTGTCTTTTCCTACTATATTTGACCTTTCTCTTGGACTATTTAACTTATATTGATTTATAAGATATATATATCTATCTATATTAAATAAAATGAGGTAGGAGACGTGCTATATATCTTAAGGATGAAGGGATTGTGTGTTAAAATGACAACTATCCCAAGCATGAGGTGCTAAGCACGACGTGTCTTCATTGCAGCCATACTTGATTTTCAACCATTATATTTGGATCCATTTATGATTATAAGATATATATTCATCCTATAATAAGTGCTTAAGGAGTAGGGCAGGAGATTGATGCCTTAAGGTTAAAGGAATTGGGTGTTAAAATGATAAATATTAAAAGCATGAGGTGGTCACTAGTAAAAAAAAATAAATCTGATTTTATATCTATCTTTGCAGGTATAAATCAAGTATCCTGGGCTTATGTTAATGTGTTTACAATCCATTTCACTTATCCTAAGATCCCAAAATATTTTATAGAGCTAATTCCTCAATCGTTCATTTAATTACTCACCCGATTGACACCCCATTCTCGATCGATTTCATCAAATCGTACCTCGATATTTATAATGTCATATGAGACATATATTATCGCATCATGATCATGTTCCTTTATGTATCATGTCCCAAATATTTCAATTACCAATCTAGGGTTTAAGGCGGTCTCGATCAACTGAATAGAAAGCTTGAACTTTTGTCGATACCGATTTTCGACCTTTTCGATATTCCATTTCTTATCAAGCCAATCTCCAACATTTAGTTAACCTAATTTTCTATCATAGCTCAATACAAAATTCAACACCTAGGTCTAGGAGTCGAAGACTAAAATCTTAAAATATCCATAATCGAATGCACCATTTTAAGATAAAGTAATTAAGAAAACTAATGCAAGTAACATTGTGAATAGCATGAAATGCATGAATCATATTGGCCAAATATATAACAGGAAGTTTGGGGTATTACATCCTTTCCTCCTTATAAAAATTTCGTCCTCAAAATTTGCTTACCAAAAAGTTCAGGATATTTAACCCGCATTTCATCTTCTCTTTCCCAAGTGGCTTCTTCTGTTGACTGATTCCGCCACAATATCTTAACCAATGGAATTTTCTTTCTTCTAAGTTGCTTTACTTCTCGTTGAAGAACCTCAATAGGTTTTTCTTCATATGTCAAATCTGGTTTTATCTCTACTGGTTCATTCTTCAATACATGAGAAGGATTTCCAATGTACTTTCTTAGCATAGATATATGAAACACATTGAGTACTTGAGACATTGATGAAAGAAGATCCAGCTTGTAGGCAACATTTCCAATTTTCTCAATAATTGAAAAGTGACCAATGTATCTTGGGCTCAATTTTCCTTTCTTTTCAAATCGCCTAACCCCTTTCATCGGCGCTACCTTCAAAAATACTTGGTCACCAACTGTGAATTCTAACATTCTCCTTCTTTGATCTGCATAGCTTTTCTGTCGGGCTTGAGCAGTTTGCATTCGTTGACGTATTTGTATCACAACTTCAACCAGTTCACAAACCATCACTGGTCCTAGAAATTTTCTTTCTCCAACATCATCCCAATAAATTGGAGATCTACAATTTCTACCATATAATGCCTCATAAGGAGTCGTTCCAATTGTAGCCTGATAACTGTTGTTGTATGCGAATTCCACCAAAGGTAAAAATTTACTCCACTGGCCTTGGAAGTCTAATACACAAGCCCTCAGCATATCTTCCAATATTTGTATTGTTCTTTCTGATTACCCATCAGTCTGAGGATGGTAAGCTGTACTAAAAGATAACTGCATTCCCAAAGCCTTATGTAAACTTCTCCAGAAGAGGGATAAAAATTTAAAATCCCTATCTGAGACCATAGATAATGGCACTCCATGAAGTCTAACTATTTCTTGTACATAAAGCTGAGCATATCGGTCCATGGAGTAAGTGGAACAAACTGGAAGGAAATGGGCTGATTTTGTTAACATATCCACAATAACCTAAATACTATCATATCCTTTAGTTGTTTTTGGTAATTTCACCACAAAATCCATTGTGATTCTTTCCCATTTCCACTCTGGGATAGGTAATGGTTGTAAGGCTCCTACTGGTCTTTGATGTTCTGCTTTTATCTGTTAACAGGTTAAACATTGTCCCACATATTTGGCTATCTCACCCTTCATGTTCGGCCACCAATAATGCAATTTCAAATCTCTATACATTTTAGTAGCTCCTGGATGAACAGAATATGGTGTCGTGTGAGCTTCAGATAAAATGTCCCCTCGAATATTTTCTGCATCAAGTACATATAATCGTCCTCTAAATCGCAAGATACCATCTGCTAATATGTGAAAATTTGAAGCTTCTCCATCATGTATATCATTCTTTATCTTAGAACAATAATCATCTTCCTGTTGTCCTTGTTGAATTCTATTCAATAAAGTTGGCTAAAATGTCAACGCTGCAAGTTTAGCCTCTACAAATCCTTGCGACACAACTTCAATACCCATTTTCTGTAAATCTATCAATTCTGATTTTTGAGTTACAATCATAAGTGCAACACTGGATGTCGACTTCCTACTCAATGCATCAGCTACGTCATTAGCCTTACCGGGATGATAGTTTATAACACAATCATAATCTTTTACCAATTCTAGCCATCTTCTCTGTCTCATGTTCAATTCCTTTTGTGTAAATAGATATTTCAAACTTTTTCGATCTGTGTAAATCTCACACCTCTCTCCATACAAATAATGCCTCCATATCTTAAGTGCAAACACAACTGCAAGGAGTTCCAAATCATGTGTAGGATAATTATTTTCTTATTCTTTAAGTTGTCTAGAGGCATATGTAATGACTTTACCATTTTGCATTAATACACACCCCAAACCATTCTTTGAAGAATCACTATAAGCTACAAAATTCTCAGTACCAGATGGGATTGAAAGGATAGGGGCTGACGTCAATCTTTTCTTCAATTCCTGAAAACTCTGCTCACAAGCATCTGTCTATTCAAACTTAGTATTCTTTCTAGTTAATTTCGTTAAAGAAGAAGCTATTTTGGAAAATCCTTCCACAAATCTGCGATAATATCCAGCTAAACCCATAAAACTTCTAACCTCTGAAGGATTTGTAGGTCGTGGCCAATTATTAATAACCTCTACTTTACTTGGATCCACTGATATACCCTCACCTGATACTACATGTCCCAAAAATATAACTCTATCTAACCAAAATTCACATTTCTTAAACTTAGCATATAACTGCTTGTCCTTTAAGACCTGCAAAACTATTCTCAAGTGTTTTGCATGTTTTTCCTTAGTATGAGAATAAATAAGAATATCATTAATAAATATAGTTACAAACTTATCAAGAAAGTGTAAATACCCTATTCATCAGATCCATAAAAGTTGCTGGGGCATTTGTTAACCCAAATGACATTACCAAAAACTCATAATGACCATATCTCGTGCTAAATGCTGTCTTAGAAATGTCATCTCCCTTTATTTTAAGTTGATGGTATCCAGATTGCAAATTAATCTTCGAAAATACAGATGCGCCCTGAAGTTGATCAAACAAATCATCAATTCTCGGTAATGGGTATTTATTTTTAATTGTCACCTTATTCAACTCTCGATAATCGATACACAGCCTCATAGTACAATCCTTTTTATGAACAAACAATATTGGTGCACCCCATGGTGAAAAGCTAGGTCTAATAAAACCTTTATCTAACAACTCTTGTAATTGTAACTTCAACTCCTTCAATTCAGTCAGGGCCATTCTATATGGAGTCTTGAAAATTGGAGATGTTCCTGGGATTAAATCAATTACAAACTCTATCTCACGATCTGGTGGTACCCTAGGTAAATCATCAAGAAATACCTCTGGAAATTCTTGTGCCACGGGCACATCACTAAGATTCGGATTGTGTTGTGCTTCCATAGCCATAATACTCACCAAATACCCTACACACCCACTATCTAGTAACCTTTGTGCTTTCAATACCGATATGATTAGAACTCTAAAACCTTTTTCGATCCCAATGCATGTAAATGGTTTATTCCCCAAAAGTTGAAAGGTTACTGACTTTCTCTTACAGACTATAGTAGCTTGATATCTTGACAGCCAATCCATACCCAAAATTATATCATAATCTTTCATATCTAACACAATTAAATCTGCATAGAACTCTCAATTTTCTATAAGGATCGCACATGCTCTTACAATTAGATTGGTTTGTTGTACATCTCCAGATGGAATAGTTACACTATAACTGACCTCATGTATATCAGGTGTCCTACCCAGCCTTCTCACATACTCGGTAGAAACAAATGAATTTGTAGCTCCAGAATCAAATAGTACAAGTGCTGGAATGCCAAAGATAGAAAATTTACCTGTTACAACTGCTGGATTTGCCTCAGCATCGGATCTAGTAATGGTAAACACTCTAGCTGGTACCTTCTTTTGCTCTATAGGATTTGGATTACTTGGGCATGCTCTAGCAAGATGTCCCACCTTTCCACAAACATAACATGTCCTAGGCTCTATAGGACATGCTCCAGTATGCTGTCCACCACATCTGGGGCAAGATGGTTGTGCTATTAAGGCTTTTCCTTGATCTATCCTCGGATGTTTGCCCTGATCCCAATGTTGTTGTCCTTGTCTCGGTTGAAACTTAGGCTTCTGAATCTATCCTTGGAAAGTTCTTTTCTTATCATTTCTAGGCCAACGCTGTCCTTGACCTTGCCTAAACTGTCGTCGAGTCTCTTGAGCACGACTAATTCTTTGTTCAGCTTGTTCAGCAACTAATGCTTTCTCTGCAATTTGAGAATATGAAACATCTAGGATTCCTGCCATACTTACATCTCTATATAGTTCTGGTCTTAACCCCTTAAGAAACCTTTCTACTTTTAATGCATCAGTATTAATCATGTGGGTTGCAAACCTAGATAGTTGTTCAAATTTACGATTATACTCCCCCACTGTCATCCCTCCTTGTCTTAGCTGTATAAATTCATTCATCTTCATGGCTCGAACTGGGGCTGTAAAATATTTATTACGGAATAACTCTTTAAATCTATCCCGAGTCATGGTATTTACATCTTCAATACTACTCATCGTATCCCACCAGTGTCCAGCACTACCTCGTAGCATAAAGGATGCACAAACTACTTTTTCTACTTCCGAAACTCTCGTATACCTGAACATATTCTCCAAAGTCCTCAACCAATCCTTTGCAGCTGTTGGGTCTAATGCATCCTCAAATATTGGAGGGTTTAGTTTTCTAAATCTTTCCCCAACTGCCTCAATATGTTCAGCCCTTTATTGTGGTTGTATGAATTTAGCCCTTTGATGTTCTCCCCTTTCTCCTTGTTGTATTAATTGCTAAAATTTTTGAGATTGTCGCTCAACTAGTTCCGTTAGTCTATCAATAACAACATCCCGACTGTCATCTTGAACAGAAGCCCCTTGCGCTGGAGTTCTAGCTCTACTACTACTAGCATCCCTGGTTCTCACCATGGCTGTAAGTAAAGATTGGCCAATATCATTCATGGAGTATGTAAAAATAATGCAACAAATAAAACTTAGAGGCTTAGCTGTGCTCTTTCGTACTCCGAGATCATGTACATGGACAGTCTACAAAATTATAACCTTGCTCTGATACCACTCTCTGTCACACCCCAAATATATACAGATAATCATACTAATTCCTATGTCGAAATGATATAGGTAACTCGATCTAGATATAAAATTTAGATATACTTATTTTTTTTTTAATAAAATGAAACGAGCATTTGCACAATTATGTCCCTATTTGTTAACTTCAAATCACCTGTGATGATCATATATTATATCAAAATCAACGATCATATAACCATAATCCAACACGTATGTTCTAAGGTTATTAACACATCTATAGTCCTAACATTACTATACCACAAATGCTAGGTTCTTGCATCTTAGTTGCAAATGGATTTTTACTTACCTTTTTGCCCTTGTGTGTGCACAAGCTCCTACGGAGATTATATCGCTTTCCTTTTTCACTCAACGTCGGAAAATCACCTGTATTACCATTTAATATTAAAGACAATCCTCCATTTAATAGCCTTAACACACACAAAATCCCAAAATACTTCCATTCACGTCAAAATAATTTAAACGAATTCATTATTCAAGTTACTAACGGCATTACAATCTCGTTCCTTAAGTCTCATTTTTCCTCGAGTCCAATTACCCACATCAACGTCATCCAATTTTTGTCAACAACCTAATACTCCTTAGAATCTATTTTCTAGGCCCAAGAGATAATTAATTTACACGTAAAGGTTGAAATCATATTAAACACATAAATGGACAGAACCTGTTTTTCAGGTTTCATCACCGTCCAACTACTTTTCCAATCAGTTTTCACCCCCTTATCCATATCCAATGACTCCCAATTTTTTACCACGTTTCTATAACATGTATGCGAAGGCAATAATGCTCTAAAGTCGTGACAAATCAAGTGTTCTCAGCATCAAAATANGGAGATTGATGCCTTAAGGTTAAAGGAATTGGGTGTTAAAATGATAAATATTAAAAGCATGAGGTGGTCACTAGTAAAAAAAATAAATCTGATTTTATATCTATCTTTGCAGGTATACATCAAGTATCCTGGGCTTATGTTAATGTGTTTACAATCCATTCCACTTGCCCTAAGATCCCAAAATATTTTATAGAGCTAATTCCTCAATCGTTCATTTAATTACTCACCCGATTGACACCCCATTCTCGACCGATTTCATCAAATCGCACCTCGATATTTATAATGTCATATGAGACATATATTATCGCATCATGATCATGTTCCTTTATGTATCATGTCCCAAATATGTCAATTACCTATCTAGGGTTTAAGGGGGTCTCGATCAACCGAATAGAAAGCTTGAACTTTTGTCGATACCGATTTCCGACCTTTTCGATATTCCATTTCTTATCAAGCCAATCTCCAACATTTAGTTAACCTAATTTTCTATCATAGCTCAATACAAAATTCAACACCTAGGTCTAGGAGTCGAAGACTAAAATCTTAAAATATCCATAATCGAATGCACCATTTTAAGATAAAGTAATTAAGAAAACTAATGCAAGTAACATTGTGAATAGCATGAAATGCATGAATCATATTGGCCAAATATATAACAGGAAGTTTGGGGTATTACATTACTGATTGAACTTTGCTATTTGTACGCCGATTTCGGACACGTTGTTTAACACTTGAATTATTGCCAAGTGTCAATTGGATGGGAAAACTGTTTGAAATTTAAACTGTCCAACAGTGCCATGTCACGTGGCAAAGTGTACACCAAATGTACATGTAGCATGGCCTTTACCTATTGAACTATGCAATTTGTACACTGATTTTTGTCACGTTTTTTGATACTTGCATTGGATGGAAAAACTGTTTGAAATTTAATCTGTCCAACTGGGTAATATCACGTGGCAAAGTGTAAATTAAAGTGTACACCATAGTGTACATGCAGCAATGATCTTACCGATTGAACTTTGCTATTTGTAGACTGATTTTGGACACGTTGTTTGACACTCGAATTGTTGTCAAGTGTCAATTGGATGGGAAAATTATTTGAAATTTAAACTGTCCAATAGGGTAAGGTCACGAGGCAAAGTGTAAACTAAAGTGTGTACACCATTGTGTACATATGGCAAGGTTCTTACAAATCGAGTATTGCTATTTGTACACTGATTTTTACGCGTTGTTTGACTTATACATTGTTGTCAAGTGTCAATTGGATAGGAAAATTGTTTGAAACTTAAACTGTCCGACAGGGTAATGTCACGTAGGAAAGTGTAAACTAAATAGTACATGTAGCAAGGTTTTTACTGATTGAACTTTACTATCTGTACACTATTTTTGACACGTTGTTTGACACTTGCATTGTTGTCAAGTGTCAATTGGATAGGAAAATTGTTTGAAATTTAAACTTTCCGATGAGGATATGGCACGGGGCAAAGTGTAAAATAAAGCGTACACCATAGTGTACATGAATCAAGGTTCTTGCCGATTCAACTTTGCTATTTGTACGTCGATTTTGGACACGTTGTTTGACACTTGAAATATTGTCAAGTGTCAATTGGATGGGAAAACTGTTTGAAATTTAAACTATCCAACAGTGTCATGTCACGTGGCAAAGTGTAAACTAAAGTGTACACCAAAGTGTACATGTAGCATGGTCCTTACTGATTGAACTTTGCTATTTGTACACTGATTTTTACCACATTATTTGATACTTTCATTGTTGTCAAGTGTCAATTGGATAGGAAAACTGGTTGAAATTTAAACTGTCCAACAGGGTAATGTCACGTGGCAAAGTGTAAACTAAAGTGTGTACACCATAGTGTACACGTAGCAAGGTTCTTACCGATTGAACTTTGCTATTTATACACTGATTTTTAACACGTTGTTTGACACTTGCATTGTTGCGAAGTGTCAATTGGGTGGGAAAACTGCTTGAAATTTAAACCATCCAATAGGCTAATGTCACGTGGTAAAGTGTAAACTAACGTGTATACCATAGTGTACATGTCGCACGGTTCTTACCGGTTGAACTTTCCTATTTGTACACTGATTTTTGACACGTTTTTTGAAACTTGCATTGTTCTCAAGAGTCAATTGGACGGGAAAACTGTTTGAAAATTAAACTGTCCAATGGGGTAGTGTCACGTGGCAAAGTGTAATCTAAAGTGTACACCATAGTGTGCATGTAGCAAGGTTCTTACCGATTGAACTTTGCTATTTGTACACTGATTTTGGACACGTTGTTTGATACATGAATTATTGTCAAGTGTCAATTGGATGAGAAAACTGTTTGAAATTTAAAATGTCCAACAGGGTAATGTCAGGAGACAAAGTGTAAACTAAAGTGTACACCATAGTGTACATGTCGCAAGGTTCTTATCGATTGAACTTTGCTATTTATACACTAATTTTTGACACGTTGTTTGACATTTGCATTGTTTTCAAGAGTTAATTGGACGGGAAAACTGTTTAAAAATTAAAGTGTCCAACGGGTAATGTCACGTGATGAAGTGTAAACTAAAGTGGACCACATAGTGTACATATAGTAAGGTTCTTACCGATTGAGCTTTGCTATTGGCACACTTATTTTGGACATGTTGTTTGACACTTCAATTGTTGTCAAGTGTCAATTGGATGGGAAAACTATCTGAAATTTAAACAATCCGATAGGGTAATGTCATGCGGCAATGTGTAAACTAAAGTGTGTACACCATAGTGTACATATAGCAAAGTTCTTGTAGATTGAACTTTGCTATTTGTACACTAATTTTTTACACGTTGTTTGACTCTTATGTTGTTGTCAAGTGTCAATTGGATAGGAAAACTGTTTGAAATTTAAACTATCCGACAAGGTAATGTCACGTATCAAAGTGTAAACTCAAGAGTACATGTAGTAAAGTTCTAACCGATTGAACTTTACTATTTGTACACTATTTTTGACACGTCGTTTCACACTTGCATTGTTGTCAAATGTCAATTGGATGGGAATACTGTTTGAAATTTAAACATTCCAAGGAGGATATGTCGTGTGGCAAAGTTGAAACTAAAGTGTACACCATAGTGTAGATGAAGCAAGGTAAGTACCGATTGAGCTTTGCTATTTGTACACTGATTTCGGACACATTGTTTGACACTTGAATTGTTGTCCGGTGTCAATTCGATGGAAAAACTACTTGAAATTTAAACTTTCCAACAGTGTCATGTCACGTTGCAAATTGTAAACTGGAGTGTACATGTAGCATGGTCCTTACCTATTGAACTTTGCTATTTGTACACTGATTTTTGCCACATTATTTGATACTTACATTGTCGTCAAGTGTCAATTGGATGGGAAAATTGTTTAAAATTTAAACTGCCTAATAGGTTAATGTCACGTGGCAAAGTGTAAACTAAAGTGTGTACACCATAGTGTACACGTAGTAAGGTTCTTACCGATTGAACTTTGCTATTTATACACTGATTTTTGACACATTGTTTAACACTTGCATTGTTGCGAAGTATCAATTGGGTGGGAAAATTGCTTGAAATTTAAACTATCCAACAGAATAATGTCATGTGGCAAAGTGTAAACTAACGTGTACACCATAGTGTACATGTCGCAAGGTTCTTACAGGTTGAACTTTCCTATTTGTACACTAATTTTTGAAACATTTTGTGAAACTTGCATTGTTCTCAAGAGTCAATTGGACGGGAAAATTGTTTGAAAATTAAATTGTCCAATGGCGTAATGTCACGTGACAAAGTGCAAACTAAAGTGTACACCATAGTGTGCATATAGCAAGGTTCTTAGCGATTTAACTTTGCTATTTGTACACTGATTTTGGACACGTTGTTTGATACATGAATTGTTGTCAAGTGTCAATTGGATGAGAAAACTGTTTGAAATTTAAAATGTCCAGCAGGTAATGTTAGGTGGCAAAGTGTAAACTAAAGTGTACACCATAGTGTACATGTCGCAAGGTTCTTATCGATTGAACTTTGCTATTTATGCACTAATTTTTGACATGTAGTTTGACACTTACATTGTTTTCAAGAGTAAATTGGACGGGAAAATTGTTTGAAAATTAAAGTGTCCAACGGGTAATGTCACGTGGTGAAGTGTAAACTAAAGTGGACAGCATAGGGTACATGTAGTAAGGTTCTTACCGATTAAGCTTTGCTATTGGCACACTTATTTTGGACATGTTGTTTGACACTTCAATTGTTGTCAAGTGTCAATTGGATGGGAAAACTATCTGAAATTTAAACAGTCCGATAGGGTAATGTCATGCGGCAATGTGTAAACTAAAGTGTTGTACACCAGTGTACATATATCAAAGTTCTTGTAGATTGAACTTTGCTATTTGTACACTGATTTTTTACACGTTGTTTGACTCTTATGTTGTTGTCAAGTGTCAATTGGATAGGAAAACTGTTTGAAATTTAAACTGTCCGACAAGGTAATGTCACGTAGCAAAGTGTAAACTCAAGAGTACATGTAGCAAAGTTCTAACCGATTGAACTTTACTATTTGTACACTATTTTTGACACGTTGTTTGACACTTGCATTGTTGTCAAATGTCAATTGGGTGGGAATACTGTTTGAAATTTAAACATTCCAAGGAGGATATGTCATGTGGCAAAGTTGAAACTAAAGTG